CACACTTGGCAGCCCCTGGAAGGTTTGTTAAAGCGCAGTCATCTGGGCCAACCCTATAAGCTCTGGCTCAAGAAGTCTGAGAGGAGCTAAGAAAGGCCTGTATTTTTAGCCACTTTGGTACTGGGTGATGGCCCTGCCAGTCGTCACTGGGCAGAGAGGGTGCTTCCAAGCTCCCTTGTGTCAGGTTCCTGGTGTTAGCCCTGTGTAATCTTCCATTTCTCTCTGAGCCATTTATTTGGCAGCATGTGTTACTGAGCCAGGCACTGTCAGGGTGCAGGAGAGACAGAGAGGGAGCCCCTGTTAATCGAGGTGATCAACAAGAAACAGCCATCACAGTATGGAATAACTAAGTCAAGCAACAAACATGCTTGGCTTCCTTGCTCCTCTTCACCTCAGCTTTCATTGGTAACCAGAAATGGAGAGCAGGTTTCCAGCTGTTGATGATGGCATCTTGAATTGCTGGGCCAACTCTCCTATTGCATTGGATTGTTCTATAACAGCTGAGGTCCACTGTTTTGTGTGTGTGTGTGTGTGTGTGTGTTGAATGCAGGGCATTCACCCTGTGCTTCATCCCCAGCCCTTTAAAATTACATTTGTTTTGTATTTTGAGACAGGGTCTTACCAAGTCACTAAGTTGCCAAATCACTAAGGCTGGTCTTGAACTTGTGATTCCGCCTTAGCCTTCCCGAGTGCTAGGATTACAGGCATTCACCACCACATCCAGCCTGTTCACCATTCCTTTAACAAATATTCTCAATCTCTGATTTGTTTGTGTACTTTAACCTGAGACTCAGCTGAAATGAAAACTTTCAACTTTTTTTCTAGGCACACTGCAGACTCTTTGACACCAAAGAAGCTGTGGCCTATGAAAAAACAGGCAGACAAAAAGCTGAAGGGAGAAACATGCAGAAATCCCGCTGGCCATCTCACTGGGCCACGGACTGTCTCACCTCTGAGCTCTGAGAAGGCCCAGGGGCCAGCTGGATGATGCTCCGGGTCTCCAAAGGTCCTCATCTGAGATGTTCCCAGACCTGCTTCATTTTGAGCTGGAGCTGAGAACCCCAGGCCAGAGCCAGGCCAAACTCGGCTGTGGGGTCTTTCTTCATGGCTGTCTTGTCACAGAAGACCAGGCTCAGCACCCTGGACTGAGGAGGTCAGTGTGAAACAGGAAAGAGATGGGATGGGAGACAGGGAGAATAGGAAGGGTAGAGGGAGAGGGGAACTGAGAGAAGGACGAGGGGGGTGGGGGCAGGGCAACACAAGGAACGGTGTCTGTTTCCTGTGGCTCTTGTAACAGTGCCACAGATCGGGTGGGCACTTAAACAACAGAAAGCTGTTCTCAGCATTGTGGCAGCTGGAAATCTGACATCAAAGTGTCTGCAGGGTTGGTTCCTTCAACCTGGTTTCCCCTCGCTTCTGAAGGTACCCTGGCAATGTTGGGCATTCTGGCTTGGAGATGCATCACCTCAGTCTAGATCTTCATCATCACGTGGCATTCTCCCTGTGTGCATGTCTCTGCCCAAACTCCCACTTCTGGGAGGGGACGAGCCACAGCAGATTTAGGGTTCACCTTAGTGACTCATCTTACCATCTTCATCCGGGACGCTATTTTCTGTGACGGTCCCACTCACCGGTCCTGAGGGGAGGGCTTCAGCATCTTAGAGGACACACCTCACAGAGGTGAGAAAGCAGGTGTTGACCCTCCCAGGCTAGGTGGTGGTGGAAAGGGGACAGGACCACAAGACTGCCTCCTGGGCCCTTTTCTTTCCTGCAGGGCCCAGGCAGGGCCATTTCTGAGAAGAGATGCCCCACTTCCGACACCAGGAGGAATTGGTGGAGATGAAAAGGACCTCGGCAGCAAAGTAACACCTGCCAGCTGGGAGCGATGATGAGACAGAGCAGCAGATGTGGTGGGGGTGGCCCCAGGGCTGCAGTAGGAAAGCCTCCTGTTCCCTCCAGTCCTGGGTGACTTGAGAAGCCTGGGGACTTGTAGGAGGCTCCACCCTATGCCTGGGGCTTTTTCCTTTAACACTGTGTAAGGAACCCATGGCGGGTCCCTCAGGGGTCTATTAGAGTGAATCTCCCCACGTGCCATGTGGCTGAACTCTGTGTAGTCACACGAAGTCATGTGAAGGTGGTTTATTCTAACCCTGAGCCGCTCCTGCAGGCACGGAGCAGTTCAAACATTTTTAAGGTAACTGTCTATTTTGTACTTGGAGTTTTATTTGCTTTAGGGCATCCTTAAAATGTCAGCCTGTGATTGTGGGCCATATAGAATCCTCATAGGGCTGATCCAAATCCCAGAGTCTCAGAAAACACCCAGACTTTGACTTGAATCAGAATAGCCATATAGTTATCTCTATTTTCATTCAACAGATATTTTTTGAGTCTAGGGAAATAGCCAGTCTGGGGAAATTGCAGTGAACAAACAAAAGTCCCCCATTTTATGGGGGTGGATTAAAAAAATCAGACAATCAAGACCTGAGGATTTTACTTCTCAGGCGTTTAGAAGAGCCACAGAGATTCTTTTAAAAAGGGTAGAGAATGCCTTGTATTGATGGAGAGACAGGGTCCAGGGAGGCCTCGCTGAAGAGGGGACATTGCAGTAAACGCAAGAGTGAAGAGATGAAGCCCCGGAGTGGCATGTCCTGAGGAGTTGGGAGCCAGTATCACTGGAGAGGAGAAGGCAAAGCTCTGTCCCTACAGACAGCGGTGCTCACCAATTTTCTGGAATCCCTGGCTTGGAAGCATTTTATTTCATCATCTTTGTTAACCCCAAAATGTCCCAGGAAGGCTGAAGTACATCTCCCAGGGTTCCTGCCTCTTAAACTTGGAAGTATACATCAACCTCCGCCCCACACCACACCCTCCTTCATATCCCAATATACTCTGAATGGGGACTTGGAAGATAGGATCCAACTCTAAATTCCTAAGTGCTGTCCACTGGGGCACTGGCTGAGCTATTGAGAAAAAACCCACCTATAACCCACTACTTCATCTCTGACCATAAATGCTTGTAGGGAAAACACTGTGTGTGTGTGTGTGTGTGTACACACAGTCTTGTACACACATATACCCTTAAACATACTGGAAGAAAAAAACTGAGTCAAAAGCAAAATAGTTTTTCATGAAATTTTTAAGCTCACATTCTAAGATCAAAATCAAAACAGAGCCAGTCATGGTGACATAAGTCTGTAATCCCAGCACTCAGGAGACTGAGGCTGGAGGATCACCATGAATTCAAGGCCAGCCTGGGCACCATAGAGAGTTCAAGGTCACCTTGAACAACATAGTGAGACACTGTCTCTAAAAAAAAAATCAAAACAGAAAACAGTGAGAATGTTAATTGCAAGAATTCTCAATGGCCAAAAAAAAGAAATTGAAGAATGAGTCCTAGGAATGATTGATGGAGGTTAAAGGTAGGAAGATATTTATTGAGAGGAAAGAAAAAAAAAAGAATTCTCAATGGCAGTTTTGTCCACTCTTCTTCCCCAGACATCAGAAGAAACTCAGCTCCCAATAATGGTAAGGTGTTCTCCATCAACCCATTAGAGCCAGAAGCCCGAGAACTCTAAGGATTTTCTCCCCATCTCTTTCACTCTCTCAGTGATCTCAGGTCTTATGGCTGCAAACACCATCTATGTGTTGCTGGGCATCTAACTTTGTATTTGCAAGCCAGGCCTCTGCTCTAACCTTCAGCTAGAATAACAGTTTACCCTGCTGTCAACACATGATCTCCTCTTGGCTGTCTACAAGACACCGCCAACGTCACACGTCCCCACATGAGCCGCTGATGTTCACCTTTTTGCCTACTCCTCACCTTCCCATCTCTGTTGATGACAACTCTATTCTTCCAACTTCTCAGACCAAAAACTTAAACCATTTCTTGGCTCATGTTCTTCTCCCATCAGGTGTCAATTCATCAGCAAATCCTATAGATTCTTTCTTTAAAAAAAAATACATCTGGTGAAATAGGAAGAAAAGGGGCAAAGGGGAAGTGGGAGGGGTAGGGGAAAGGAAAGAAGGGAATGGAATTAATATGAGAAAATGAAAAAAGGGAAACAGAGTCTTTGTAAATAGGGATGGACAGGTTGGAGGGAGGGCAGGGGAAGGGGGAAAAATAAGAACAAAGAGAGACTATGTAAAGGTGTAAATTTCCAGTGAAGAATGTCATTATATTGTACACCTAAAATGTACCAATAAAATAAAATTTTAAAAAATACATCTGGAAGCTGCCAACTTCTTCCCCCCACCATGATGCCACATTGGTTCAAGCCAGTGACGTCCAGTTGGTCTCCCTGCTCTTGCCTTTTCATCCCTACTGGCTAATCTCCCAAGTGATCCAGTTAAGGCAGAGTGAGGTTGTACCTCTCTTCAGCTCTCAACCTGCAAGGGCTCCCATCTCACTCAGAGGAAAAGCCAAGTCCCTGCAGTGAATGCCCTCCCAGGTGCATCCCACCTGGTTCCCCCATCCTCTCTGTCACACTCATCCTGCCTGCCGTGCTCCAGCCACACTGGCCTCTGCTGCTCCCCACGCCAGGCACACTGTCCCCTCAGAAGTTTCACACTTGTTACTCTCTTTGCCCAAAATGCTCCTCCCCAGTCAGCTGGGTCGCCAATTCCTTACCCAAATGCTAGCTCCCCCGAGAAACCTTCCCTCACCATCCAGGCCATCAACCCCCAGCCTATGCTCCCCAGCACCATTCCCTTTTCTCCTGAGCCCTTGTCACCGTCTGCCCCACTGTATATTTTAATTAATTCCCCAAGGAGCATGGCACTCTCTTTCAGGGTGCCCTCCGGTGGCTGGCGCATAGCAGGCACTCAGGCACTCTTGTGCAAGCAGGTGGCACTTAAAGGGCATCCTCCACCCCCCTCCTTTTCAGAGCTCAAGGACAACGGCCCCCAGGAAGGGAAGGAGAGTCCAACCTAGCTTGGCAGATTGCTCAGATTGCCCATGGGAGGCTGGGGTGCAGACAGCTAGCTCCTCACATCTGCGTCACACGCAGCCTTTCTGAATCAGGGGGGAATACTTTTTCCTGCTCCTTTGAGTGGGGAAAGAATTCTTCCTATGAACAAGACACAAATCTGAACTCCTGGGATGTTTCTGTTTTGATCCAGTTCTAACAGTGACGCTGTTGGATTGTGCTAAGCTAGAACAGTGAGGGCATTAGGACCAGGAGCAAGGCGCAGGCTTGGCTCCGGGTTGTGTCTGGCAGAGGGCTCTCTCTCCACTGAGCAGAGCGATGTGTGAAAGGAAATCAGGCACTGCCTGCCGCCTTTACATCTGTTGATCTGACCTAACTGGAAGCGTCCAAAGAGGGACGGCTGTCAGCTCTGCTTGACTGAGAACCCACCAGCTCACCCCAGGCATCTCATAGCTGCCTGGCCGTTCATGCAAAGAGGGGAAGAGACATTTGGGACTAAACACCTGAGCAGAATGGACTGCTTATTTATCCCAAGGAAAAAACTGGGGCAAAAGGGGAGCAAGCAAGTTAATTTGGAGTCCCTGTGAACGGGCTTCAGAAGGCAATTAAAGAAATCCGCTCAGAGAGAACCTTGGGTGGAAGTGGGGTCCTGTGGCTTTCTGATTTTAAGTGGAAACAGGTCTCACACATGCTGTTGGCAAATGTCAGATGCGAGCAAAGGAGCAGGTTGAGTGACTAATAAAGAACTTCCAGGTGAAACAAGCAACGCAGGTTCTGCTGCAAGGTGGAAGAAACCTGGAGCTGAATGAGAAAGCAATCTTGAAATGACCTGTTGCATTTGGCAAGTTGTAGCAACATGCTCCTAAGGAAGCGATACCGGCATGGACCATGCAGACCTCAATTCCTCCTGCTGCTCCTGATGCTGGGATGCGTCCTGACCATGGTGGCTGTGTTGTATCCTCCCCCTCCCACTCTGCACCAGGCTGTCACAGGCCAGGCCAGCAAGCACAGCGCCGAGGTCGAGGCCGGGTACCAGCTGAAGTTTGGGGGATCCCAGGAATGGGTTCTGGAGGCTGAGGAGGAAGTCGAGGAGTACGGCCTTCTGGAGGACTTGCCACCCTTTATCTCACTGCAGGAGGATCAGCTTCTGGTGGCTGTGGCCTCACCCAGGGCCAGAAGGAATCAAAGCCAGGGAAAGAGAGGTGGCAGCTACCGGCTCATCAAGCATCTGAGGAGGCAGAATGAGGAAGCCCCCGAGAGGGACTGGGGGGCTGAGGAGGAGGACGGGGAGGCGTCAGAAGAAGAGGAGCTGAGCCTGCTCAGCCTGGACTCGGGAGGCCTCAATGAGGCACTCAGTGCCCGCCTCCCCTTGGAGAGGGTCCTCCCGGAGGTGCGCCACCCACTGTAAGTAAGGTCCCACTCTCCCTTCCCTGGTGTGGGTGTGCAATCAGGTGGCAGCAAAGTCAGCGCTGCAGACTTTCTGCACCCTGCATCCCCTGTGCTGAGGAGAGAGCTTCTGGAGGTGTGGTCCCTGGGCCACTGGTCAGAAATGCAGATTCTCAGACCCCAGAAATGCTGCTGAGTCGGAACCCTCACATGGGGTCCAAGTGATCTGTATTTACAAGCCCTCTGGGTGAGAACCACGGTCCCAGAGAGCAGACAGCTAGGCGAGCTTGCTGACTCACTCTCTTCATCTCCTGGGCTCTGGCTCTGCTCTGAACTATCAGGTCCTGCAGCTTAATCTGTGTAACACAAAGGAGGTTGGAGCGGCCGTCTCGAAGGAGCCTTCCTGTTCTCACGCTCGGACTCTGAACATTTTTATATTAACTTTATTGTTAGTATTTGCTTTTATTTTGGACCAAAGTAGTAATTACCATTAACATTTATATGGCTCTTGCCATATGCCTGGTTTTAATCTAAGAGCTTCTCACATACTAATTCAGAATCCTGCGAAGTCCTTATTGCTCTGCGGGATAGGTGCTAGTATTAGCATCATGCCTATGTCAGAGGTGTGAAAATAAGGCACAGAGAGGCCAATGGCTTGGCCACAGGCACGCAGCCAGTAAGTGTTAAGCAGGAATCTGAATTCAGGCATCACGTTCCCGTCTGCCTAAACCCCCAGTCAGTGAGACTAAGGGAAGAGTCTTCAGGGCCCAAGAGGTACAATACTGTGCTGACTGCAGCTTAGCCTGGCAGGGTGGCCCTAGCCCCAGAAGGGAAGCTGGCAAATATGTATGCCATGCAGGCCTGTGTCCAGGGAGACGGCAGGCCCGTCCTTGACAAGCCTGTGCTCCCTTGCTCTGTGTCAGGTGAGGGACGGCTTACCAGCATCCGGCAAGTCTGCAGGTAGACTCGGTGAGCGGAGCCTTCCCTATAGCACACAGCTCTACCCACAGCCCGGTGCATTTCCTGGAAAGCAAACACATCTTCTGCCCTGGAAGAGAGAAGCTATGTGCAGAGCAGCAGCTGTGTGCAGGGCCACGTAAACCTCGGGTTTGTGATCTGGTCCCTCTCAGCCTGGCTGCTCAGTCACCCACACTCAGGGTGCGCAAATGCAGGGTCAGACAAGGTACGGACTCCCTTCTTCTGCCCTCCTTGGTGTCTCATGCCCCTCACCCCCACTCCAACCCTGCTCCTCACTGCAGCCCTTGGCTCACAAAGCTCTTTCCAGGACACTCTGACCCCTTCCGTGCTATACTCTCTTCCACACCCTGGAGGTTGAACTCAGCACTTAGTGCAACTGAAGCTAAATAGCCATTGATGTGTTCACTTGTCCGATGCCTGCTTCCCCTGCCATGCTGTGGGCCCAGAGAAGCTTGGGACAGAATTTGTATCACACATCTCAGTGCCCAGCACACAGTAAAGAAATGACTGTTAGGGGCCGGGGATTTAGCTCAGTGGTTCTGTCCCTTGCCTTGCAAGTGCAAGGATCCGAGTTCGATCCCTGGTACCAAAAAAAAAAAAAAAGAAAGAAAGAAATGACTGCTAAGTGAAGCATACCCTTCCAATTCTTTTGATACATTTTTCCACTCACCTAAAGCGAGATTGACTGTCCTCATTGTGCAGATAAGAGACAAACATCGCCTCAAATAAGAGAGTTTTGGCTACCAAAGGGGCATGCATGTGTGACTATTTGTGTCTCCATAGAGCAGGGGCCCTATGCATGTGCAGATTTGTGGGTCCATTGTGTATATGTGTCTGTGCACCCATGTGTTGTGTATGTGCTGTGTATTGTAATGTGTGTGTGTTAAAGGAACATTGTGCATATGTGTAGTATATATGTACAGTGCATTGCATGGTGGCTTTTAGCTTGATGCATATGCATGCTGTATGTGTGGCATGATATGCACAAGCATGATCCATATGGTGTGTGGTCATGTGTACATGTATGCTAGTGTTCGTGTACAACACATAAGTTGTGTATTTTGGTAACATGTACGTGCATGGTGTGTATGTGTACCTAGCTCTTGTGATGTGGTGTTTGTCTTGTACATGTTTATGTGGTGCATGTGTGCATGTGCATTGTGTTGTGACTGGGCTGCGCATCATGATGAATTTATATGTGCATGTTTGTTACACTGTGTGAGTGGTACATGTGTACATGTGCAAGTGTGTTATGCATGAAGGGCATGAGTGTGTTGTGTGTGTAGTACAAAGTGGATGAATGTGTTTTGTGCACAGGTGTGCACATGCTGCATGCTGTGTGCATGGGTGTGCTCTCTATATATGATATGTACTACGTGAATTGTGTATGTTGTGCAGTTGTTGTGATGTGCACTTGCACTGTGCCTATGTCCCCATGTATGCATTGGGATGTAGTGCGTGTTTTGCATGTTTGTGTGGTACATTTTTGCATGTGTATTTGTTATAACAGTACAATATTGTGTGTATTGCACACATTATAAATGTGTAAGGCAAGTGGAACACATGAATATGTGGAGGTGTGTTGCAGGTATTGTGCATGTGGTGGGGTGTACATGAATGTGTGATGTGCATATGTGCTAGGTGTGTATATGTGTGTGTGTACCACTTCAGTGATTGCTTCTTCCTGCCAGGACAATCAACTCATCTCAGTTTGCCTAGGACTTTCCCTGTTTCAGCACTCAAAGTCCCTGGAGTCAGGAAAGCCCTCAACCCCAGGCAGAATGTGCAGTTGGACTCCCCACCCTCAACTTGACTGGCTTCTCACAGCCTCGAGTTCTGTGCAGAGGTGTGTGGCGCCCTCTGCTGGTGCATGCAGCCTGCGCAGCCTCAGGAGGGTCCCCCTCTGCACGCACACCCCCCCAGGTCCTGCGTACACAAGGAGTAATGCCAGACGACCCCAACTCGCCCTCTAAGCTGACAATCCTCTCTTCCTCTCATTTCTTTAAAGCCAGACAAAATAGAAGACGTGAAAGAAATAGCCTCATTTGCACACCTACTGTGTGCAGGCCCTGTTTTCCTCCCAGGGCTGGATGGACACTAGAGCACCCGAGCCACTGCCCCCTGTGCAGTGCACTCCATCCTATCGCCTGTCCCTGAGCTTCTTGCAAGTCTTCCTTGACTCCAACCCAGACGAGCCCCTCTGGCCCCCATCCCTTCACCAACCCCGCGGCCAGTCCTGCCTTTGGTCCGTTCTCCCTTGCCCAGGCCCCAGGCTTCCCCTGCTATCTCTAGCATCATGCTGGAGGCCACTTTGAGCAGGGGAAATGTGAAGAAAGGTACCAATAATGCAAGAACAATAAAGAAAATAATCACTGCAAAAGTAGTCAAAAGATAGTCTCAGGAAAGAGAAGCCAAATTACAGTGAGCGTTTATTGAGTACTTACTAAGTACTAGAGACTCTCCTAAGTGGTTTTCGTTTGTGTAATCTTCAAAACAAACCCATAAAGTAGATTTGTTTTTATAGTTAAGAAAACCAAGGCACAGAAAGGCAAAGGGACTGGTGTCTGACACCAAAATCACACTTTCGATCACCATGCAAGAATTCCTCAGTCTGCTTCACAGACCCAGAGTTGGGCAGGTCACAGGAGCCAGAAGCATTTCAAGTTTTTCGATCTTAAAATGGGGAGACACAGGCCATGGAGAGACACACAGGAGGCTGCTTACCTGAGTGTCCTCTGTGCTATAGAGGCACTGAAGCCAGCGAGGCTCTCGTCACAGGGGCTGGAGGAGTGGCGTGCACCTAAGAAATATGCAGCCTGAGATAGAAACAACTGGAATATGCTCAGCAATGAAGGGAGACTCTAAACTTTTCTGGGGGGAAGAAGTAAGACACAGGAAGAGGCCTATGGCTCTGTATCTGCAGGGGAGATGGAAGCCAAACGCTCTGATCAATCTGTTCTTTACAGGACAGCTCAGTGTCCCTGGGATGGTTTGCTATGGGGAGGAGACACAAATGGATTAGAATATACAGACAGAATAAAGAGAAGGGCCTTGGACAGAGCCATGAACTGAAGCATAGGGTTAACTCAGCCCTGCAAAGCTGCTGTCAACAAAAGGAATGGGGAAGAACTAGTCTTGTACATTAGCCTGGTATGGCATTGACAGTTTTCAAAGTTCTTTCAGGCCCAGCTCTCCTTTGATCATCCTGGCATCCAGTGTAGGGCAGTGGATTCCTAGGATCAAAAAGGCTCCGGGTGAGCCAGTGCCTTGTATCCTGATGTCCAGGGCAGAGGGTTCCCTACTTTGGACTTGAGGGCTTGTTAAAATACACATTGCTGGCTGCCACCCTGATAGCTTCTGTTTCAACAGGTCCAGGCTGGGCTCAAGAACTTGCATTTCTATAAGTTCTTGGGGCTTGGGCTGCTGCTGTTCTAAGGCATGATCTCTCCTAAATAGATGGGCCAGAACAGGGCCCCTCAAACTGTAACGTGGGTGGGAGTCATTTGATCAGCTTGTCACCATGCAAAGTCTGATTATGCAGGTCAGGTGTGCAGCCCAAGGTGCTGGGTTCCCAGCTGGGACCTCCAGTGTTGGCCCACGGATGCAACATTTGAGCACCAAGGGGTACACCACCGGGTCCCAGTGAGTACACATCTCATTCCCCATATTGCATTAAAAACACGGACCTTCAGATCCCCTCCCTGGAGACCTTCCTATTACTGGGTTTGGGGTGCTGGAGTCTCCTTCCAGAGATGGTTTCTAGGTTCTTTCTGTCCTGAACAAAGAATTTGTCAAGACAGGGCCAGGAATGTAGCTCAGTGACACCCCACCTGGCAAGTGCAAGGTCCTGAGTTCGATTTCCAGTACCAGAAAAAAAAATTGTCAAGACAAGCACAAAAGGTTGCAAAGTTTTACATTTATTAAAGGTGAGAAAAGAAACAGGCTCTGAGTTTGGGCCAAGTAAAAGCAGGAAAGTACACTGTACAGGATGAAAACAGGCTAGTACGAGAGAGAGCACAGTAGCTGAGCACTGAGTGGGG